CTGAATCGGCCTAAAGTCGGCCCTGCAGGTCCCCCTCCATCACCCTGCAAATACCCTCTTCAGCACCTCCCCAAATAACCCTCCCTGTACGTATACACACACACACACACACGCCACCAGCACCCCTACCAAATATTCCTTCCCAGTACACACACATCCCTCTAACACTCCCCAAATACCCCCTCCAGCAGCCCTCCCACTTTATCTCCCTCTCCTGCTTCCCCTCCCCCCGGCAGTGTCCTCTATTTGGTAGGGTTACCATACGTCCGTTTTTTCCCGGACATGTCCGGCTTTTTGGTAATCAAACCCCCATCCGGGGGGAACTGCCAAAAAGCCGAACATGTCCGGGAAAAATACCGCCGGCCGGGCACTTCCCCTCCCGGGCTCCGGGGCGCAGGGTCCAGAGGCATGGGGGCTGCCCGAAGCCCGTAGCGCTCGGGCAGCTTGGCTCTTAAACAGAGCCGAAGAGTCAGGGGAGGAGCACAGCAGCCGGAACCCGAGTGCTCGGCCGGGGGCCCAGGGTCTGGAGGCATGGGGGCTGCCCGAAGCCCGAGCTACCGGCTTCACGGTTTGCCGGGCAGCCTCCAGACCCTGGGCGGCCGGCGGGGCGCTTCCCCTCCCGGGCTCCAGCTGCGCTGGGGAAGCGCCGGCCGGGGGCGCAGGGTCTGGAGGCTGCCCGGCAAACCGTGAAGCCGATAGCGCTCGGGCAGCCCTTTTCGCGTGGCTGGGAGGGAGGAGGGGGAATGCGGGGCGTTCAGGGGAGGGGGCGGAGTTAGGGCGGGGACTTTGGGGAATGGGCGGGGAATGGGAGGAGTTGGGGTGGGAAGGGCGGAGTTGGGGTGGGGGCAGGGGTGGGAAAGGGGCGGGGCCAGGGCCCCGTGGAGTGTCCTCCTTTTTTATTTTTTAAATATGGTAACCCTACTATTTGGGAACTTGAAATATGGTAACCCTATCTATAAACAACTTTGCAGTGCCTGTTTTAGTTTCCTTCTGTAATAAACCCTGAAAGATACTTTTGTTTGGAACCCTGAATAAATAAGTTACTTTTAGGTTTTAAACTCAGGCCATATCTGCACTATGGATGCTACAGCTATGGTACTGAATGATTTTTTCATCACTGTATGTAATCCCCCTCCCTGAGAAGTGGTAGCTAGTTTGATGGAAGCATTCTTCCATTGACCTTAGCTGCATCTACCCTGGGGGTTATGTTGCTACGGCACTCAGGAGTATGAATTTTTCACATCCCTGATCAATGTAGCTGTCTGCGACACCCTGTTCACCACTTTTATATGATTTTGATATATTTTGTACAAAGTATGCCTTGTGAGGTATCATTTGCAAAACTCATAATCTGCTGAATATTATCCTGTTGAAATGGGTGTATCAACATTATATGTGAAGTTATGAGATTCTTCTATATAACTGTTACTGAAATATTTTGTAAGTCTGGGTAAAGCCCACACACCAGTTTTTGAGACAAAGACACACTGGCAACCCCAGACAAGTATCAACAAAGTCAAGTGGCCACTTACTTAAGCAGCCATTCTTCAGCAATGGGAAGATGTAAACAAGAAATTTACATTTCATCCCAGGAGGGCCAGTTTTAGGATTTATGGGGCCCTATGCAGTATTATTAAACTGGTGCCCCTATGCCCAACGGCAGACAGGGCTCTCATATGTATTTTAGATAAGGATGGTCTTTTGAAAGATTTATTTAAAAAACTATATATCTGAAGATCCAAGCATTTAAAGCTAAAGATGAATACTGAGATTGTGCATCTAAAAATCTATGCGAGGATTTTTTAGAGATGTGATTTTATAATCTTCAGCAACACACTAATGAAATATTTTTAAAGCAAATTTTAAACTAAGGTCTCCTGTAGACTAACATATTCTGAGTAAATATTACAGTAATGCACAACTGTTTGTGTCAGTAAATTCAGAAACTGACAGTATATACCTGGGAGTTGGCAAATGCCTGTTACATGGCTTCATTACCTCTTGAATGGCTCTTTAACCGTTTCAATGTTGTGCTAATAGGTCTGGCAGGCTGGAGGCTTTTTCACTTTTAAGTACTAGATCCCCTCCGGAGGAAGACTCACCAGGCTGCAGCAGCCAGCTGTGATGGGAGCCTGCAGGAAGGGTCAGAACATGGATAGGAAGAGGTGGGAGGGGGGACACTAAGACCCAGGGGTGCCCCAAATTTTCAGGTACCCTACACAGCCGTGTATGCCTAAGGATGGCCCTGCATCCCAGATCCTGTTGGAACCTCACATACACAGGGGACTGTTTATCTACACCATGGTGGAGGGTAATTCTCAAAGAGAGGAGGAGGAGGATATAAAAATAAGGGTATGTCTATATGTACAGTGCTGCAGCAGGGCAGCTGTACCAATACAACTGTGCCACTGTAGCACCTGTGGTGAAGACGCTGTATGCCAATGGGAGAGAGCTCTTTAAAAAAACCACCTCCGCGAGTGGCATAAGCTCTGTCAGTGGGAGAAACTCTCTCGCAAACATAGCGCTGTGCACACGAGCGCTTATGTCGGTGAAACTTATGCCATTCCTGGGGGGTGGAATACACGACATAGGCTATGTCTACACTACAGCCTAAGAGACAGTGACCTCCACATCACCCCTCTCTCCTCCTCCCATCTCAAACACTGAATTGGGGAAGGAGTACCTGGCTGAAAAAGAAATCCAGCCTGCGACTGCTGCAGTTTATGATGAGGAAGACATTTTGCTTTTGCGTTCATTTAGGTATTAGCTTATGTTTTTATCTTTTCATTTCTTTTGTAACCAATCCTGACTTACATGCATCTATAGTTGTAATCACTTAAAATCTATTTTTCTGTAGTTAATAAACTTATCTTATTGTTTTATCTTAATCAGTCTGTGTCTGGATTGAAGTGTGTGGGGAACCTCTACTCGAGAATACAAGGCTGGTGCAGAATCATTACCCAGTGTTGGAATGAGACTTACTGGGAGCTTTAACTGTCCAGGAGAACACTGAGCAGTGCAAGACACACATTTCTGGGGAACAAGGTTGGGACCAGGGATATGCAGGTGTCGCCTGTCAGGAATTTAAGAGTGGCTAGCTAGTAGCACTCAATACTGTGTAGCTGGGAGCAAGTTACATGCTGGAGGCTGTGTATGGGCAGAACCTGGAGAGGTGGGAGTTCACCAGCACAGCAACATAAGAGGCATCCCAGGCTAGAGAATTAAGGGGGCACCACTGTTCAGTAGTTCAGGTTAGACCCTGGAGAATGTCACACTCCGTCAATCTAAATTTTAAGTATAGTCTAGGCCTCACTTTGATTTCAAGTGAGGTATGAATCGCTAATATGTGTCAACGTGATTGTCATAGGCAACCCAGCTAATTAGTCAGTATTAGTGCACATTGCAAGCCAGCTGGTTAAAATGCTTTGAAAAAAATTAAAGATGTCTCATTTTACAAAAATAATTTCACAGCTCTGGGGCCAGATTACAGTAAATCATCTGATGGAGCAATGAGCATCTGAAAGCGACTCTTTAGAGTGACAGGTTTCAGAGTAGCAGCCGTGTTAGTCTGTATCCGCAAAAAGAACAGGAGTACTTGTGGCACCTTAGAGACTAACAAATTTATTAGAGCATAAGCTTTCGTGGGCTACAACCCACTTCTTCGGATGCATAGTGAAAACACTTGTGCAGCCTTAGCACTAGGCATTTCTATGACCTCTACCTAGGAGGACTTGATCCTGCATGTTGCTGAACACTCTGACTCTAATTCATCAAAACTTCAGCAGGTACTTCACTTTCCACAACTACTCACATGCTTAAAATAACCACATGATTGATTGTGGTGTTGGACTGGGGCCCAGAGTACTCAGCAGTTTGAAAGATCAAGCCCTAATTTCTTTAGGTATCCACAATGTACTCAGCCCCTCACACTTTGATAAGTCATTCAGGGCTTGTCTACACTGGCACTTTACAGTGCTGCAACTTTCTTGCTCAGGGGTGTGAAAAAACACCCCCCTGAGCGCTGCAAGTTTCAGTGTAGACCGTGCACCAGCGCTGGTAGCCGGGCTCCCAGCGCTGGTAGCTATTCCCCTTTTGGAAGTGGTGCCGTGACTACACAGCCACGTTAAAGCGCTGCCGCAGCTACTGACGAGCGGAGTAGCGCCAAAATCGATATTGTCATTTCGAATTAGGGTTAGTGTGGCCGCAATTCGATGGTATTGACCTCCGGGAGCTATCCCACAGTGCACCATTGTGACCGCTCTGGACAGCAATCTGAACTCGGGTGCACTAGCCAGGTAGACAGGAAAAGCCCCGCGAACATTTGAATTTTATTTCCTGTTTGCCCAGCACAGGAGAGCACAAGTGACCACAGAGAGCTCAGCTCATCAGCACAGGTAACCATGCAGGCCGATAATCGAAAAAGAGCACCAGCATGGACCGTACGGGAGGTACTGGATCTGATCGCTATATGGGGAGAGGATTCAGTGCTAGCAGAACTTCGTTCGAAAAGACGAAATGCCAAAACTTTCGAAAAAATCTCCAAGGGCATGATGGAGAGAGGCCACAATAGGGACTCAGAGCAGCTCCGCGTGAAAGTTAAGGAGCTCAGACAAACCTATCAGAAAACAAAGGAGGTAAACGGTTGCTCCGGGTCAGAGCCGCAGACATGCCGCTTCTACGCCGAGCTGCATGCAATTCTGGGGGGGCCGCCACCTCACCTCACACTGAACCGCTCAGGGCTTCTTCGCGCCTGCTCTGCTGTCTCCTGCCCCCATCCCCGTTGTCTCCCGCTCCTGTCAGACGGACCCAGCGCCCCCGCCCCAAGGCTGGGAGCCGGGAGGGGAGCGAGTGGCCCGGATAGCGGGGGCACCGCCGGAGGCGCGGAAGCTCCAGGGCAGGCGCTGCGGTTCAGACCTCCGCCGCCAGATGGCGCTGTCGCCGGCCTCTGCCGTTCGGTGCGGGGCCCGCTGCCGTCTCGCTGCTGCGGGCCGGGGCGGGTGGCTGCTCGGGCGCGGCGATGGCGGCGGGCGGGGAGCGGAGCAGCACGCGGGACAGGCTGCTGGCGGCGCTGGAGGATCTGGAGCTGCTGGCCAGGTATCCGCGCGCCCCCGCCAGCCCCGGGCCGGCCGGACTCGTTACGGCCTGACTCGCGCCGCCGCCGCCGCGTGGAGGGGCCGGTGGTTCCTGTATGGCGGGGTAGCGCCGAGAGGCCCCTGTGCAGATGGAGGTGGGGGGTGCCCCGGGGATGGGGGGAGTCCCTGTCCGCCGGGCCGCACGTGCCCCAGGCATGGGGGCTCTGTCCCGAGGACGGGGGGCCCTGCCCCACAGAGCCCGCAATCCAACTAGATTAGCCAGAGAAAGGGTGGGGGTAACTGAAATCCCTTTCCCCGGGCATCGTCTTGAAATGTTGTTTCTTTATCTCCTTCCTGTGTGTAAAACTAACGTGCAGAATCCTCTGTCAGGTCTACATAGACTCCGGTCAGTGTCACATGAGCGTCTGTATGAAAACAAGCGTTAAAGCGTGACTCGGGTGGGGGGGGGGGAATTGTAATAAAGACGTGTTATTACCCGAATTACTAGTAATTAGATAGTTAAAAATGAAAAGTTTAAACGTGTGTTGCGCATATAATACCCCAAAGTATGTTAGACACTTTACAGACATCTAAGACATTTCTTTGATTTGTAGCGCTTACAATATATAGACAACATGTAGACTAAGGACTGAGAGGAAGGGAGAACAAACGTTTTTTTTTTTTAAATCTTGTCTATTTTATTGATCCTTGTCCAAAGCCTTTTTGTTTTAGTGTTCACAATACAACTGTGCCTTATTTTTTTGTATTGCCTTTCCGTGGCTTGTCTATTCGTTGGGGTAGTGTGCACATTAATTGGTCTGTGTAGACCCTGCTGGGGTGTGCACTAAAGTTTCCCTAGTGTACTTAATAAAATACAATTTGAAACTAACCCTCAGCAACTCTTTCCTCCATTAACTCACCCATATACTTTTGGTGGTCTTTATTTTTCTTCTATCCACATCTCTCTTCTGTGCCACAGAAATTTTTCCCACTTCTTGAGACATTAATTATTAATTGAAAGTTTGCTGATGCCAAAAGTTTGCAAGTAGTGTCCTTTGATTTAGTCTCTTTCCTTCCAGAGAAGCAGGGGCTTTCTATAAATTGCCTCCTCAAAGCAAGTTGGTAACCTAATGTATTTTCCTATTTATGTGGATGGTTTAATCTTTGTATTTTTCTCTGTTGCTAGGGCTATGAAAAATACATGGGTCAGTTTCACTTTTGTTTTTAGTCAGTTTCTTTTTCAGATTATAATGTTCTGTCACAATATCTAGGTTGCAAGTGTTACAGGGAATGTCCTTGTATAAAACTATGCTTCCCATTTTGTATTTAATCATTTATTTTGGCCTCAGGTTCTATAAATGCTTGCTTTTACAAACCTAAAATTTGGGCAAAATTTGACCTGAGATAATTACTAAATTATTCTGAAACAAACATCTCAAGCGGAAGATACTTTTTTTTTTTTTTTTAAATCAAGACAAACCATTCTGAACTTGTTCACTTCCTGCATAAATTTATTTGAAGTAACAAGGCCCCCGTGCTGCAATCTGTGATCTGTCTGGGCACATCCTAGCAGCCATGTGAAACCCATGCTGTCAGCTGCACACTTTATGGGAATAAGGGTCTGCCAACATGGATCAGATTGAAGGATCAGAGTCTACATGAAACTATTATACAGAAATTGCCAGTCTGCTTAACTTTAACTATTGCCTCATTCCCTTTATGAAAAAGTTACACTAAACATTTAAAAATTGTTCCTACCAAGATCAGATAATGATTAGGTTCTGTAAAGATGTAATTACAGAGTAATTATTCACACTCTTTTAAAAATGTAAACCAAATTTAAGTTGCTTTTTAAAAAAATACTATCCAAATTATGATTCATCTGTTTGTTTATCACTAGGGCAAAATGGTTCTTGAAAACAATACAAAGACAGAATCTGAATAGAGCTAATATTTATCTGTTGGGAACTGTGTGGAAATTCAAATTCAGGTTGATGACAAATAGGCAAAGTGGAGTTTTAAATCACCCAGTGATTGAAACAATAAATGTGAAATGCTCATGTGCAAGGTAACTGCTTTAGTCTGATCTCTGGTTCATATGCATTGATGCAAATACTACACATTACTGCCTTCTTGACCTTTGTTTTCCCATAGATCCATATAGAAAGACTGTCAGTTCTGTGGTTAAACTCTTTGAATGAATGTTGTCACTTTCACTTAACATAAAGAAACATGCAAGATGGAGAACTGGCAACATTACATTTCCAGTCAAAATTTGTATATCCCACCCTCCGAACCCCTCGGTCTCAGCCCGGAGCACCCTCCTGCACCCCAAGCCCCTCAGTCCCATCGAGCCCACACTCCCAGCCTGAGCTCTCCCCCCCCCCGCACCCCAACCCTCTGCCCCAGCCCTGATCCCCCTCCTGCCCTCCGAACCCCTTGGTCTCAGCCCAGAGCACCCTCCTGCACCCAAAACCCCTCATCCCCAGCCCCACCCCAGAGCCCGCACCGCCAGCCAGAGCCCTCAACCCCCCCCTGCCCCTGCCCCAGCCCTGATCCCCCCTCCAAACCCCTCAGTCCAGTCTGGAGCACCCTCCTACACCCCAAACACCTCATCCTCAGCCCCACCCCAGAGCCTGCACCCCCAGCCGGAGTCCCCCCTTTGTCCCCCCAACCCCCTGCCCCAGTCTGGAGCCCCCTCCCACACCCTGAAGTCCTCATTTCTGGCTCCATCCCAGAGCCCTCAGTAGATCAAGACTTTTTAAATGATACCTCACAAAGCCATGCATTGTACAAAACATACTATAATCTAATTGAGGGGTCACTTAGTTCACTGCTAACATTAACTGTTTGGAAGTTATTTTCATCTGAATTGAGCTGCAGCCCCACTTCTCAGTGATCTGCTGAAGAACTGACTTAGGCTGTGTCTACGTTGCTACTTTCAGCGCTAATACTTTAGTTGTTCAGGGGTGTGAAAAAACACCCCCGAGTGACGAAAGTTTTAGCACTGAAAAGCGCCTGTATAGACAGCGCTTTATTGCCGGTAGTCACACAGACCTATAGATAGATATAGATACACACACACACTGCTATTCTTTATAAAAAAAAATCAAGGTAAAATTGTTCATGTGGCTGCCTGGTTAAAAGGGCTGAACTCCTATGACTTGCACGATTTGTGTTGGGTTTCTATGAAACTTGGAACAGCAGCAGTGAAGGAAGAGAGAAGTTAAATGGTCATTTTTGTCTTGCAGTGAAGTCTGGTATTGAAATATTAGATGAGAGCCAAAATGAACCGAAAACAAAACAAAAAATCCCTCCATGTGAAAGCACCACAGATCAGTAATGGAAGAGCTGATTTGGTTGGAAAGGGGGTCTGTCTGGATTGGGAGACTTAGGCCTTGTCTACACTGGCAAGTTTCTGCGCAGTAAAGCAGCTTTCTGCGCTGTAACCCCCAAGGTGTGCACACTGCCAAGCCACATACTGCACATAAACTGTGCAGTTGCAGCGCTGTAAAAAACCCACCCCGATGAGAGGCGTACAGCTTTCTGTGCTGGGGCTACAGCGCCGCAGTGCCAGTGTAGACACCCTGGTCGATTACAGTGCTGCAATTGGCCTCTGGGAGGTGTCCCACAATGCCTGTTCTCGCCTCTCTGGTCATCGGTTTGAACTCATCTGCCCTGCCCTCAGGTGACCAACTGTGTGCCCCACCCCTTAAATGCCTTGGGAATTTTGAAAGTCTCCTTCCTGTTTGCTCAGTGATGTGTGCAGTGGTCTTAGCGCATCTTTCCAGGTGACCATTCCTGCTCCATGCACCAGGTGATCCCTCGCTTGGAGCAATGCCAAGCTGCTGGACCTCATCAGCATTTGTGGAGAGGAGGCTGTCCAGTCCCAGCTGCGCTCCAGCTGTAGGAATTATGATACCTACGGACAGATTTCACGATGCATGACAGAAAGGGGCCATGATCGGGACACACTGCAATGCAGGGTCAAAGTGAAGGAGCTGCGGAACGCCTACCGCAAGGCGTGGAAGGCAAACCGCTGCTCCGGGGCTGTGCCCACGAGCTGCCGGTTCTACAAAGAGCTGGACACGATACTCAGTGGCGACCATACCTCCACTGCAAAGGCCACTGTGGAGACTTCGGTGGCTCGCGTGCTAGTCAAGAGTGGACGGAGCCAGGAGGAGGAAATCTTGGATGAGGATGTGGAGGGAGAGGGGGATCCAGAGGCAGAGGACGACTTGGAGGTCAGAGATACATACAGCCAGGAGCTCTTCTCTATCTCGGAGGAGGCTAGCCAGTCTCAGCAGTCGGAGCTTGGCGAAGCGCACAGGAGAGGAGACCCCTGATAAATGGCTTTGATTTTGGGAATTGCTGAAGCGAGTTGTTGGGGACAGGAGGGTTGCAGAAAGCAGGCTTGTGTCTGTATCATGCACATACCACCACATGCCTAGTCTGAGTGGCAGAACAGGGTGTTGATTGACTCCTTCGCTTCACGGGAATCTGCCTCAGAAATTTCCACGACACTCTCATGGAGATACTGGGCAATCCGCTGCCGCAAGTTCTTTGGCAGAGCTGCTTTGTTTCTTGCCCCGTTAAGGATAACTTTCCCACTCCACTGTGCCATCATTGGGGAGAAGGGGGGGGACATTGCTACACACAGGCAAGCCGCATAAGGCCCAGGGCAGAAGCCATAGTCTTGGAGAAGACTCTCCCTTGATTCCCTGCTCACCCTCAGCAGTGAGATATCTTCCATAATGAACAAAGCCTGTGGAAAATGTGGGAACAATAATGATTATAAGCCCCCCCGCCTCCAATACAGTGCTGGCTCTCCCCAAGAGCCACTTGCCCAGTGTACAGTATGGTCCTGGAACACTGATTTCCCCTGCCCCTGCGGTTACTCACCATTTTGAGGATCTTGTGGCTCATGTGTGCTTGCCTGGGGTCAGCCAGTTAGTGACATGTATGTGAATAGTGGCTGTGTTTTAAATCACTGAATCAGTGGTCTGTGTGTTGCAGACAGTA